TCGACGGTTTTTATCAGGGCCTGGACAGACTTTTTCAGCATGGATTGAAGTTCTATTCATACAGGAGTGGACACAGGCTAGCCCCGTTGACGTATCAGAACCACAGGCTCCCGATACGAAGAAAATGCCGACAACTGTTAAATACCCACTGACCCAACAAATATTACTACTGAAATAAGCCAAGTAGATGTGTTTATATAAACAAACCCGATGCTGACCGCCGGCCCGTTGCCCGAGTGGTGATCACTGTGAGCGTAGACGAGGTCGTCGAGAACGCTGGTGACCCGCTGGGTTATATCACGCTGCACCTCAATCTTCTGGTCGTCCATGAGACAGTCCACCTTATGAATAAAGACCTCAAACTTGATGTTTGGATTCTGACGATAAGCAAACTCGATGGTGGAGTTGAGTCTGGCCAGGGCCTCGAGATAGTCATCCTGTTAATAAAAAAGAATGCATAGGCGATTGAAAATCCTCGAATTATACAAAGCACAAATGGTGAGAAATGTCAAAGTATAGGAGTTGCCAAAAATTAAGTGATAAAATACTTTCGGGACGTGTGATGTACGGAGATCCGGAACCCGAATCGGCTTGCGTAGTTGAGGCGCGGCTTAAAGTGTTCTGTCAAGATGGGCTCGAAATAAATCCTAGTTTGTTTGAAAAAGGCACCGAAATAACATAGGTGTAGTCGTATTGAGCTCAAAAATGTCTATCAATGGTGGGATCCGCTGGTTTGAGGGTTGATATACCTGCAAAAGTGTTCGAAAAGAAACAAATCCAGAGTTCGGACCTTCTGGATGCGAGTTATGACGGCCTGATGAAGATAAGTAAATCGGAAATAATTATTCCGACGTCTTTTCCTTTTGTGGGGAACGCTCCTTCAAAGCTAATTGCTCACCTCTGTGAAGCAACTTGGGAAGACCCCATACCAGAACCCTGAAGTAAAAAAGGGCGCCGTGTTGAAATTAGGCCACGTCGATGCATGCTGCTCTCAGATGCTTTTAAACGCCTTCAATCAAACCTGACAAAGCAGGAGCCCATATTTCAAGCGACAACTGACCTCGGGTTCGATTTCCTGGTCTTGGTGATCAGGAATTAAAGTTTACAGAACTTTTATCGGCCATATCAGAGTTCCCAGAAAGCACCCAATTTTCGGCCAGCATCAACGACCTCAACGGTAACAGCTTTGGTCCTCCACCAGGCTGTAACGAGGGTAGGGAAGCTGCAGAGCAGCGTTAGCGGAGGTCTGGCTACTCATTTCTTTGGTACTGCATGAACAATAATCGACAGTTCGACCATCGCTCTCGACTATGTCCCCCAAGAGCTACATCAAGCTGAAGGCAGACTTGGTGAGCACAGCTGAATATTAGTGAAAGTAAACTCGCCGGATCTATCCCACTCTCTCACCACGCCCACATCTGTATTCGATGTCAGGAAGACCGGAGATGGCTGGCGCTACTGACACTCCAATACGCGTACAAACAGCACACCTGCCTATGTAGGCTCCAGCGTGTGCGAGAGCGCCATAAAGGCCACATTAACAAGGAGGCATTGCAGCCGGACTTTCAGCCCGTCAGTGAGCCACTCCACACGACAAGACACACGAAGGACTGACTACGGTGTCTCAGTTATCCCGTCCGTTGGCAGATCTTAAAGCCAGGGATTTTAGCGTACCGTAATAGCTTCGAGAGCAT